ATAGTCAATCTGCTCTTATAATATTATTCTTTCTATGTGAGATAGTACTACCGCTATCAGTTCATTGGAGTTAATAGAAGTTGCTTCAGCGTTAGCGGGTTCTAAACCGTCGTATCTTGGGAGACAGACGTCGACATACCTCCAACACCCATGGTGAGGTAGCGAATCTGTTCTAAGGAGACTGTGGTATCACTTAGGCTTCGGTTTGATTTCTTTTCTTGTCTTGTCTTGTTATGTATTTTCTATTCATCTAATTGTAATTTCTAGCATGAGTTCTTATTCTATAATTTAAATTATTAAATATGAATTTGTTTGTTTTATTTAGGGGTGGTTTGGGATGAATTATATAAGTGCACTTTTTGATGTTTTGACTAAAAAAGTAGAGGAAAAAAAGATGTATGTTTAGGATAATTTTTTGACTTTTTACGAAAAAATGTGTATTAAAATATTGTATCAACTAGCAAAAAAACCGTCCTACCCTTCTAAGCTGCACTATTGGATGGTACTTGTCAGCGGACTGTGTTGCACTATTGTATCAGTGAAGGTACTTGCCAGTGAGCCAATGCACTGTGCTGAACTGCTCTCTCATTTTATTTATTTATTTATTTTTTTTCACACGTGAGTTGGACTGTTAGAAGGTGACAAAGAAGGGTAATTTTGTGTTTTTGCCGTTTGAGAAATTAGCCCTAGTTTCCCGCCAAAAAATTGTGAATAGTATAAACTTTTTAGATTTTGTAATGATTTTTTGACTTTTTATCTTTTTTAGGTTAACTCAAACACTAACTTAATTTCACAATTTGTACAACAGAAATTTTGTTTAAGAACAAGGTAAGTCTACTGTAAAAAAATTAAGTTAGCTTCTTGTAAGGGAATGGCAAATGTACAAAAATTTAAGTTTGCTTATGCTAAATTAGTACTCAAATGATTTTTGACATAAATGCTAACAAAAATAATTAATAGAATGGACCCTCTTGTGTAATATGCGAAATAATTGGTAGCCATCACATGTATATATTGCAGACATACTTATAAAATAGTGAGTCAATAAGAGAATTATTCAAATTTAAGGGTCGATTATAGTAATTTTGAAAAAATATAACTGGGAGGTGCCATGACCGCATCTCTCTCATCTCGCCTCACCATTCTCTTCCATTATGGGTCGTTTGGGCTGCAACTACATGAGCTTTATTTCGGCCCACTTCACTTTAAAGTTGAGTCAGCTTGATATGTGTTTTCAGCTTGATTGCAACATTTATTTATTTTTTAAATTTTATTTTATATGTCCTGTTATGACTTTGAGTGAATTTTAATGGTTGCATATAGTGGTGTCGATGCCCCTACCACACATGGTTATGTGACTAGTTTTGTGGGTAGTTCTATGTATTGTGTTACATTTGAAAAATAAATACTAAAAGTATAAATTAAACTGTTTTTTTTTGTTAAAGTTGCTTGTCTAATTGATGAGGATATGAGTCGATCGCAAAGTGAAATTTAAGTCTATTTTGAAAAGTTGGTTAAAAATTAATTTTTTTTAGTTTTTATTTTTTATTTTTTATCATATCGCTTCTCTATTTTATTTTTTTTTTGGGTACGTTTTTTTTATCATATCGCCTCTCTATTTTTTTTTTTTTTTGTGTACATTTTTTTTTAAGAAAAAAAAATAAAAAATCAACTGTTATTTTTATGCTATGAAGCAGGAAGAATAAAGGACATTCCATTAGGCCCAATTACAATGATCAATGAATCTGGAATTTCACCAAAGCATGGTGGTTTTAGTGTTAAGTTAGCTTATCACATGCCAAAAGAGTGTGAGCAAACTAATTGAACATCATCGAATTCAGAGCTGATTAGGAAATTCTGGAAACTGTGTCGACGATGCAAGTATCCAACAAGTCACTTATTAACCTATAATATGAACGGTGCCGTTCTTTATGAGCACAATACCGTACAGGTAACGTTAGAAATATCAAATTTTTTATTAAATAAATAATTAAATGTGTAGAGTTGATAATTTTGTAGATCTCATATCCATGTAAGACATTTGATCATTTATTTGGTAGAAAATTTGAGACCTTTAACATTTTTCATACCGTATTATAAGTATATGGAGGTATTTTTTGAATTTATTCCCATGATTCGAATTGTTTATATTATAAGATTTATCAAGTGGATCTTTTATAAAAAAAAGAGAATCAAATCAAATCAGTTAGGTATCTGTAGTCTATAACAAGACTGTATTTATGTTAAAAAAAAACTAAACAGTTAACATAATTTTAATAGTTTTTTTTAAAAAAAATAATTATGGCCCGATCATTGGAATATGCATGTCCGATTAATCTCATTTTTATATGGATAATATATTTAACGAATTTTATAATACGAACGGTTTAAATCATTAAAATAAATCAACACAAACCTCAACCGAGACATCACAACACCCTCCCCTTGTCCGTGTTGTATTGCAATTTGATTTTCATCTTTAAAATTTTATTCCCTTATTGATTCTGAGTTTTGACAACACCCTGTTTGGTTTTTAGTTTTCAAGAATAGTTTTCTGTGTTTTAAATTTGTATTTATGTATTTTTAATGATTTTTAAAAATATTTTAGTTGAATTTTTTTAATTTTAGATCCACTTAATCTAAATATATTTAAAAAGTAAAAAAAATTGTAAGAAAATCTTCAAAAAATTTATTGAATAAAACAAAATGTGAATATATATATATATATATATTTGTTGTATTTGGTTTTTATTATTTTTTTTAAAATTTCACAAATATTATAGTTTTTAAGCGTATTTAGATTATGTATATCTAAAAAATAAAAACAGTGCATAAAATATTTAAAAATATTCATTAAAAACAAAAAGAAATATGGAAAATAAAAAAAAACTCAATTTTCTTAAAATGTAATAAATTACACTAAGTATAATTAATTCAAATTTTTATTTTTCTTTTTTTAACACATGCCCTATGGGCATATGTTAAGAAAACATTAAATAAAATACAATTACTTCTATTTATGTAGAAAATAATAAAATAAAATACAATTACTTCTATTTATGTAGAAAATAACAAAGCTTTTTTTTTAAAAAAAAAAAAATTATAGCATTCACAATCACTGGTGGAATGGAGAAAGGAAGGCAAGGTGGATGGATCCCTGTGTTGAGTCAGAGAGAAAGGAAATGAGGATAGAAAAAGGAAACTAATGCAAGACTGTTCACAATATTTTTGAATGATCTATCAAGCTCTGTGAATTTGAAGATGGTGTTCAACATTTTCAGGAAGTATGGAGTGGTGAAGGATGTATACATCCCACAGAAGAGAAGGAAAGTGATGAATACTAGATTTGCTTTTGTCAGATATGATTGTGAAGTGGTAACAGAAATAACAGTGCAAAAGGTAAATGGGATATGAGTGGAGGACAAGCAACTAGAAGTGAAGCATGCAGATTATGGCAAGGAGATTCTAGAAGACAAAGTTCACAATCAACCTAAACCAAAAGGCCCTTTAAATAATGAAAGGGGTGGATGTAGTGTTTGGAAGCCAGCAATAGGACTTAGATCTTATGCAGTGGTCATTAAGAACACTAGCATCATGAGAGGAGGAATTGTTACAATCAAGGCAGAGGAAATAGGAAATGGGTGGCTATATGATAGTGTTGTGGTACGTCTTAAACCAGAATATGCCAACATTAAACTTAAAGCAGAAATTTAGAAGAGGGGTATGGAGAATATATTGGTAAGGAATGGAGGGGGTAGGGATGTGTTGTTAACATTTGAATCCAAGGAGGAAAGAAAAACAAATTTGGGGACCATAAAGAAGTGGGTACAAAATTGGTGTAAGGAAATAGTGGAGTGGGAACCGGGTCTTGTTAGAGTCAAAGAGCATAAGGTGTGGTTATGCTGCTATGGACTACCATGGAATCTCACATCGAATAGAATTGGGAGTATTTGGGGGGAAGTTATCTGTATTGAGGGTGATCTATGTAACCCAACATCGTTTGAGTGTGCAAAGATTCAAATTGTAACCAAGTGTATGGAGCCAATCAACAAAGTCATTAATATGGAATGCAAAGGATCTGTTCATTCTATGTGTTAGTATATTATTATACTTTAGCATTGTTTATTATTCTTTAAGCATTGTATACGTTAGTTGTTATTATTATGTTTGTTAGCTTTATGCTTTCGGCTAGCTTTAGCCTTTCGGTGCCTCGCGTCTCGCATGCCTCGCATCCAATGACAGGCTATAAATGAGAGCTAAGCTCCCGTTGTAATTGTACAACATACATCAATATATACACAATTTACTCTCTCTCCCTCTTTTTATCAAACTATTTTTACACTATGAGAGTGTGGAAACAACAATCTGGGTTATCAAATATCATGTAAGGGAGGTGTAATTGTCGAAAGAAGTATGATGGGGAAGAAATTTTTAGTACAAACAATGGTGAGAAGATTAGAGTTGGGAAAAATGCAAGAGATGAGGATGAAGAAGATGATGACTGGGCTGATGAGTCAGCACGAGAGCTGGACCAGGCTAAGGATGTATCTAAATGGGATGTGACATATGGAGAAAGGAGGAGTGATGAGGTGGAGAAGGAGTTACCTAGGAGAACTGAAATGGTGGTGGCAGAGTTGGCTGGAAATGAGCTCGATGGGAGGGTGGAAGGCATTATGAAGGTAGTTGGGAACATAGGCAAAGGCTGTGAGTTGGAAAATCATAAAAATGTTGATCAGGTTATCATGCACGGTTTTGTTAGAAGCTTAAGTGCTCTATTTTACTTAAACCTGGGGTGGATTTAGAGGTGGAGTTGGGTCTGGGACATGATGTGGGCCTAAGAGATGGGTTAGATAATAAGAGGAAAGGGGTGGAGGTGAAAGGCCAGGGCTTGAAGTCTGATTTTCAGTGTGGGCTTAAAAGTGCATTAGGGCCTATGCTGAGTTGTTCAGACATGTTCCAAACCTATGGAGATCCAGTTTGCTTAAGTAAAGAGATTCACAAGAAAAAAAGGGAGGAAGAGTGTTGTTCGCAAATCAAGTGGTAAGAAGATTAAAGAGATGAATAAGGGTTATCCTGAGCTTGCAAAAAGATATGGACACAAAGGAGCTTCATCAAGTAAATTGGGCCCAAAAAGGACATGGAGAGCAGCAACTACAGCAGTATTTATTTCATCATCAACAGCTAGTGGAGGGGCTAGAGACAGAAATATGGTTAAAGAGGCTCATGAAACTCTATAACTGGGAAAATTATTGGGACTAAATTACAAAGGGAATGAAGAGGAAGTGTTGTCCAAAATTATGGAGCTAGAGGCAAAGGATAGAGCAAGAATGGGAGGGGGTACTGATGCTGCAGCTTAAAGTGTAGCTTTGGGGGTCAGAGATCAGTGTTAATGGTTAATGATGAAGGTAACATGGAATGTGAGGGGTTTGGAAACGAAGGAAAAAATGAGTAAAATAAAAAGCATGTTAAAAGCTAGAGGAATTGACATTGTTCTATTACAAGAGACAAAGAAAGCATCTATGTTAGAAGAGGAGGTACATGAATTATGGGCTAGGGATAGGATGAAATTCATGACAGTGGATGCTGAAGGAACTACTGGTGGCTTATTATGCATATGGGATCCAGGAGTGCTGCAAGTCTCAAGTTGCTGCTGTAATTGAAGATTTATTCTTCTATCAGGTACCTTATTCTTCTTTTTTGAATGTGTTATAATTAATCTGTATGAACCGAATGAAGTGGGACAAAAAGGGAAACTATGAGAGTGTCTCTTGAAGCTAAAGGAGGAGTTTTCTAATCCCTGGTGCTTGGGGGTGATTTCAATGAAATCAGAAACATTAGAGAGAGAAAATGATGTCCTAGGAGGGAGAATGGTATGAAGGAATTGAATGATTTTATTGATAAAAGTGAGGTGAATGACTTGCCCCTATTAAGAAGAAGGTACACGTGGTGTAATGCCAGGGAAGGGGAAAAATGGAGCAGAATTGACAGGGTACTAGTGGAACCAAAATGGTTGGAATAATTCAATCTGAAGTTGTGGGGGTTACCTAGAGCTATGTCTGACCATAGTCCTTTACTTTTGATGGAAGATGAGAGAGACTGGGGTCCTTGGCTCTTTAGGTTTTTAAATGCATGGACATTACACCCAAATTTCTTTCCTTTTGTGGAAAAATGGTAGTAGGAGCACCATGTGGAGGGATGGGCTGGTTGGTTTCAGATTATTTCAGAAGATGAACGAGCTGAAATCAGCACTTTAACAGTGGAATAATGAAGTATTTGGTAATATTCATACTAAGTTGAAGCAAGCAGAGGAAGAGCTTCATATGACTGATCTAGTAGTAGAGGCTAGAGAGCTTGGAGATGCGGAAAAAGCAAGAAGAAGACAGGTTAGTGATGAAGCTTGCAGATTAAATGGAATGGTGGAATGGTTGTGGCTTCAAAAATCAAGACTGAATTGGAATCTGAATGGTGATAAAAACACAAGATATTTTCATGTGGTAGTAAAGTGTAGACAGAGGAGAAATGAAATCAATTCTTTAACTATTGGGGATGCGATATTTGATGATCCATGCAAAGTTAAGCAAGAGGTTCAAGCTCATTTTCAAAAACAATTTACTAAGTATTGGCAGTTTAGACCTATATTGGAGGGTCCTTTCAAGTTAGTGAGGAACAACCCATATTTTGATTTGTTGGAAGCAGAATTTTCTGAGGAAGAGATAAAGTGCACTGTTAAGAATTGTGATGGTAATAAGGCTCCAGGCCTAGATGGGTTTAACTTGGCTAGTATTCAGAAGTTTTGAAAGGTAATGTAGACTGATGTGCTCAATTTCATGGCTGAATTCCATAAAAACAGTAAGATGGTTAAAGGGATCAACAGTTTTTTCATCTCTTTGGTCCCTAAGAAGGAGAATCCAGTGGGTTTAGCTGATTACAGACCAATTAGTTTGGTTAGTTCACTATATAAAATTTTTACTAAGGTTCTATCCTCCAGGTTGAAGGTTGTGATTCCTCAAATTATTAGTGAAAATCAATCTTTATTTATTGGAGGAAGGAACATTTTAGATAGGGTGTTGGTTGCCAATGAGGTTGTGGATAGTTGGAAAAAAGCCAGGAAAAGAAGTTTGGTCATAAAGCTAGATTTTGAAAAAGCTTATGACTCATTGAATTGGGGTTTTCTATTGTCAATGATGATAAATTTTAGGTTTAGTGAAAAGTGGGTGAAGTGGATAAAGGAGTGTATTACCTCTTCTAGATTATCTGTGTTTGTTAATGAAGCACCAACAAATGAGTTCAGTCCACAAAGAGGGTTCAAACAAGGGGATTCCCTATCACCTTTCTTGTTTATCATAGCAGCTGAGGGTTTAAGCATATTAATGTCTAGGGCTTTGGATCTGGAGTTGATAAAAGGGGTGAAGATCGGCTCAAGTGGGGTAGTTCTTACTCACCTTCAGTTTGCAGATAATTCTTTAATATTGTGTGAAGCTGATGTTTTGGAAGTTAGTTGTTTGAAGAGGATTCTGAGGTGTTTTGAGATGCTTTCAGGTCTGAAGATGAACCACCACAAAAGTGTAGTTATTGGAGTGGGTGTTCTAGCGGAAGATATAAATGAGTTTGTATCAGTGTTAAATTGCAAAGTGAAAAGTTTGCCATTTCAATACCTAGGTCTACCATTAGGTGCTAACCCAAGCAGAAAAGCATCTTGGAGACCTGCTTTGGACAAAGTTAGAAGCAAATTGGTAGGTTAGAAAAGGAAATTACTTTCATGTGTAGGGAGACCCACTTTAATAAAATCTGTCATTTCTTCTTTGCCTATATACTATCTGTCTCTGTATAAATTGCCACAGGGGGTAGGTAGAGAACTGGACAAGATTCAGGCCTCATTTCTCTGGGGAGGATCTGAATTGAGAAAGTAGGTTCACGTAGTAAAATGAAAAGAAGTATCCAAACTAGTTGAGCAAGGGGGTTTGGGGGTTAGGAGAGTCACGGAGGTCAATGATTGCCTTTTATTGAAATGGTGATGGAGATTTAGTGTTGAGAGTAAAGCAATATGGAAAGGGGTTATTTGTAGTAAATATAGGATTGATGAGGGGAATTGGAGGCCTTCAATTAGCCTTAATAGCAGGTGCTCTAAACTTTGGAAGGATATAATATCAGGCCCTAAATAGAGTAGCAAACTGGTGGAATTTTTTCTGGATAATTGTAAGGTGAAAGTTAGTAATGGCCATCGAGTCAAGTTCTGGGTTGATAAATGGTGTGATAACTTATGTCTTAAAGATGAATTCCCACTCTTGTACAGATTGGTAGTAAATAAAGTAGAGTGTTTATCTACTGTGGTGGATAGAAATGAGGAAACTGGTGAGTGGATGTTTCAGTTTAGAAGGGAATTATATAATTGGGAAAGGGTGGAGGCCACAAGATTGGTAAGCCAGTTAGAGACAGGTCCTATTATTAGGCAATCATCAGAAGATACACTAGTCTGGAATGCTTCTATAACAGGGAGATTTATAATGGAATCAGTGTATGAATTTCTGGCAGGTGGATCTGGTAGCCTTAGTCCTATTAGCGAAAGGATTTGGCTCAAGTACATCCCCTCTAGAGTTCAATGTTTTGGTTGTCTTGCATAGAAAGGAAGGTTAAAGACTGCAGACTTTCTTATCAGGATTGGTGTTATGAATGCTAATGCATCTTCAGTATGCAATCTGTGCAAATCTGAGGGTGAGTCACTTAACCATGTATCACTATCATGTCCAGTTACTTGGAGAGCGTGGTCAGCAATGCTAAGATAGTGGGATGTACAAGGTGCATTGCTAGATACTGTGGAGGCTACTATTAATTGGTGGGTCGGGGTGCGGCTAAGCAAAAAAGAGAGGATGATGTGGAAAGCTCTTCCTTTAGTTGTAATGTGGTCTTTGTGGAATCATCGAAATGAGTAGGTAGGTGTGAGTGATCTAATTAAGTTTAGATTGGCTGTTTGGTTCAAGGAAGTGTTGAAGGATCATATGTTCACAGCGAATGATTTTATTTTCAATCTGAAACACATTAGATTCTGCTTGAGAGGTGGTTCGAGGGGTGTACCTTAAGGATGCTTAGTGAGGGGAGTATGGCATAGGAGGCTTGTTGCTGTTTGAAGCTGTTTCTAAGATTGTATGCTGCTGTATGCTACTGTCTTGGCCTACTGTTTATTGTTGCTGAAGAATTATGTTGTTATTGTATGCTGCTGCTACATGGTTTGGAGCTAGTGCAGAATTTTGTTGATTGTTTGTTTTGCTGTGTTGTTATGTTTTTTAGGATTTTGGTTGATCTTGATTGGCTGAATTTTGTTGATTGTTTGTTTTGCTGTGTTGTTATGTTTTTTAGGATTTTGGTTGATCTTGATTGGCTTTTGTGCTTCTTTTGCGGTGCTAACCTAGTTGGGATTGTAGAGGTTAGATATGATGCTCAATGCATTACCTGATTTGTTGGTGTAATTTTTAGTGTACTTTGCTTTTCTCATCAATAAATCTTTTTTTTTTGTTGGTAAAAAAAAAAAAAAAGAAATTTTTTTTATATAAAGACTAAAAATACCCGTTTTCTATTTCCCAAAATTTCATCTCTTAATTTCCCTTCTATTATTTTATTATATTATATTTATAATTTCTTTTTTTCAATATGCAACACACGGTGATTATATAATTCTAAATAAATTATTTTTATTTATTTGGTTTATTATTTTTTGAAATAAATTGAAATGCATTTTTATTCTTATTTTTATTTTTGTTGTAACATTATAGCATCAATAGATTGATTTTATTTTATTTTGGTTATGATATTATAGCATTAATAAATAGAAAATTTTAATTGTAAGTGATATATATTCATCAATGCATTTCAAGGAATTGTTTGGATTTAAATGAGCTTTCAAATCAAGAAAATATTATTATTTGATGTGATTTATAAATTTATTTTTTATTTATAATGAAATGTTAGTATTTTTTTTATTTACTATTATTCACTATTATTTTATATTATTATATTATATTATATTTTTATTTTTATTATTTTTAATTGATAATTCAATATGATGTTGTACAAATTTTACTCTACATGTTTTTTTGATTTTACTCAATTATACGGTGGTTTATTTATTTAAACTGGCACTACTCATTAATATTTGAATCTTATAAATAGGTCAATTTCAATATTCTAAAAGTAAGGGCATTTTTGTTCATATACAAAAAGTAGGGAAAATTACATAAATAGTCCCTATAGTTTGGGCCTTGTGTCACTTTGGTCCCTAATTTTTCAATTGTGACATATTTGACCCTGAATTTTGAATCTTGTTCTAAATAAGGACAATTGAAGATACCATTGTTTAATTTCAAGGGCAAAATCGTTAATTTAATAAAATATAAACTAATTTGATAAAAATAAATGTCAAAAAAATATTTTTAATTTTTTTAAAATTATTTTTATCCACCAATGATAAAATTATGTAAAATTGATAAAAATTAATAAAAATTACATGATTAATTTTTTAAAATTAATTTTACATGATCATCATCCAAACACATAATAAAAATTAATGTGGTAGAAAAAATGTTTAAAAGAATTATCAATTTTACATAATTTTATTTTTAGTGGGTAAAAATAATTTTTAAAAATTCAAAAATATTTGTTTGACATTTATTTTTGTCAAATTAGTTTATATTTTATCGAATTGACGATTTTACTCTTGAAAAATCTAATGATATCTTCAATTGTTCTTATTTGGAACATGATTCAAAATTCAGGATCAAATGTGTCACAATTGAAAAGTCAGGGACCAAAGTGACACAAGTCCCAAACTATAGGGACTATTAGTGTAATTCACCCCAAAAAGTATATAGTTTTTGAAAATTATCATATTTAATTCTACTTGTGTTTTATAAATTCAAAAAATATGTAACATTAAACTCATTTTTTTTTCATAGCTTTATAAAACTCTCAAACTTATAAATAATTTTTTTATGAGAGAAAAATTGGTTAAAAAAACAAAAACGTGAATACAATATTTTATTATTTATTATTATTTTTATGTACAATATAATATTTTATCTCGTGTATAGGATGAATGTTATGCTAGTTATTTTATAAAAATATATATCGTAAAAGATATACAACCATTTTGAATTAAAAAGGATAAAGATAAATCCATAAATGATTTTGTTAATGTGTACCCGCACATATTAAGCAAGCTTAAAGGGGTGTACAATTTTCATAGCTTTCACTTTCCTACCAAATTAATTTACAAGCATTTTAAGTTTCTTGACATGTGCTCTAAGGCACACATTAGAAAAACTTATTGACTTAAATAACATTAATGAAAATCTATGCCATTCATCCTACTTAATTAAAATTGTTAAATAGCATTAAAAATTTGTGTAATTAATTACATTAATGTTGTCATTATCTGAGAGGGAGATTTGTGCCGAACAGTTGGGTCAAGATACGGGCAGCACGGATTATGGTGTTGGCCCGTGTGGGGACCAGACGTTGTGCCTGGCTGAGTTGCATCAACACAATGCTTCGACCCACTACAATTGGCCAGGCTATATGTAGCTTGGGCGTACGGTGGCTTGTGGATGCATAGCCAGGTGAGGACTATGCGGAACGGGATGGTTGTCGAGCTATGGATAGTTTCGACTGATGTGGGGACAGATGACTCTTGAGATCGGTGTGCGGGGCCAAGATATCAAACGGCACGCCCGTGTCTAGGCTGTTCTCATGGATTGGTTCGGTTTTGCTCGGCTATGTCTGTCTATTGTGATGCTTGTGTTTCACCAAGTAATGGCTTGGCCCAGCACTCCACAGGGACCGATGAAGAGAAAGGGGGCAATCCATTCCCGGTATGCGTCAATACCGTTTGGCGGTGCGACAAATATTGTTTGGAGATTTTAGTCTCTACACGTGTAAGAAAGGTAAAGGAGAACATAGCCGCCTATCTAGAGAAGGACAGCAGAGGTAGTGTGTCCACAACCTCTGAGGCTACATAGCCAACCTTGAAAAGGAGGAGCATGCAGACGATGAAGGTAAGCAATCGGAAGGAATTTCCAACTCTCTCTCTATAGTGCTCTCTTCTTCTTCTTCATGTGTGCTGACTTGATCGTCGGAGGGTTTATCTGGCAGAACACCGCTGGGCAGCTCACCATCTTTCTGTTCTCAAGTTAAGCAACGTTACGTGAAGCTTTGATTCAAGGAATACGGAGAACTGAAAATATTTCACTCCTGTGCGCTATCTATAACTACTATTACAAGGAGATTAAGACATCTACAATGATTATGGTCTCATTTATTTAAAAGACAAATGTTAATAAGTATTTTTAGTGCATTATTGTTCCTATCTATTGTTAGAAATGATTGGAAAAATTTTGGGTAAAACTAGAATTGTTTCCTAAGTTTGGTCTATTTTTTAGGTGGGACCCGAGCGTCGATTTTCACGAGTCAAAGTGGTAATGCGTTCTATGCCACGTTGTGATTCACGTGGTATATTTGGTTGCTCAAAACCATTATCGAATCAATGGGAAATTAAAACCAAAGTGTGTTCCATGGAAATGGAGTTTTGGTGAAAATTTCTTGAGGTTTGTGTAATGGCTTGTCCCACATTGATTTGGTGGGAAGTTTTGAATGGGTTTATAAGGCATGGGATTGGAATTTGGGGTGTGCCCCAAGGGGTACCCAAGTTTTGTAGAGAGGGAGGTTATGGGCAAAATAGGCTTGACCCATTGGACCCAAAAAATCACCACACACGCGCACGCCGCCGCCGTCGTCGACCGTCTGGTCGGGCGGGCTGGGCGCGGGTGCGTGGTGTGAGATTGGGTTGGGCTTGTCCAGCCCAATACCTATCTTTTTGGACAAAAAACATATGAAATTTATTTTTCTAAAATTTGAATTATTTTTCTAAAATTAAATTCGAATTTTTCCAATTTGTTTTTCGGAAATTAAAATTCAAAATTGGGTCCGTTTTTCTCCACCCGAACAGATTTAAATCTATTTAAAATTCGGAAAACCCGAACAATGCATAACAGTTTTATCTGTTTGAATTTTGAACTCAACAGATTCAAATCTGTTTAATTCAAAACCAAACAGGTTCATACCTGTTCAAAACAGATTAGCACTTGTTTAATTCAAAACCAATAGCCACCACTTCACCTATATAAATAGGTAGTCCCTCATTTGATAGATTCATTTAGAAATTTTGTACTTCACCTTTGCAAATTTATTCTTCATTTTGCTGCATTTAATTATTGTGAGAAAGAGTATAAACACTTAGTGTGTTCATTGAACGAAAAATTTGTAGTGCTACTATTTTTCGTTGTTGATCATTTTATCCTGGGAGATAGACGTCTATATTCTGAAAGCACCGTGGAGAGGATGAATCTGTCTTAAGGACGTAGTGTCGAACACTAGACTTGATCAAATTATTATTCAAGAATTAATCAAGTAAGTTATTTAATTTATTTTCGGTGTTATTATTATTTATTTAAATCAAATTTTAATTTTGTTTTTGTAACAAAATAAAATCTATTTTTATTTATTTATTTTTTATTTCTAGTTTGCTTTTTGTAATCAAACAAATTCTCTCATTTCATTTATTTCTTTTATATTCTAGTTGTTATTAAGTACACAACAGAATTTATTTTATTTAAATACAGTAAAAATTGTTCAACATCTATAACTATTACTAGAAGAAGATTACGAAAACAACAACTATTATGAATATTCCTCTAAGAAGATGGGTCTCATATTTAAGGGGCAAACTGTAATAAGCGCTTTTGGAGCAATGTTGAGTGTAAAAAGTTCGGTGAAAAGTGTACTCCCTCCGTCCCAAAATATTAGTCCCTTATTTCATTTTTTATTGTCCCAAAATATTAGTCCCTCTTTATAAATCAAGTACAAAAATAATGTAAATTTTCTATTTTGCCATTCTTTTAAATTAATAAACAATTTAAAAAGTACAATTATGACATTGATATTCCCAAAAAATGTACTATCAAAAGGGTAATTTTGGAAAATCAACTTTTTTCAAATGCAATAAGTGTACTACCAAAAAAAGTTGGATTCTCCAAAAGGGACCAATATTTTGGGACGGAGGGAGTATTACAAATGATGAAAAATGTTAAAATAAGTTGTGAAATAAAGTAAAAACATGTTTAAAAATTTGTTAAATGTGTCTTGTATTCTTTATTTTATTTTAAAATAATTTTTTGTGTCGCGAGAACATTTGTTAGGCAGATACTTAAGAGAAATGTTTCGTCAGTGTGTGTGTCCTTAAGCTTACATTAAGATGATATAAAAAGATTGTATATTTCTTAATTCATGCATTTTTATGTTAAATATATAATTTTTTCAAGTATCTTAACATGTTCTCTAAGAACATGTGTTAACAAAATCTTTAAAAGAAAAAATGTGTAGAGATATGCATTTTAGCAATAATCAGCTTAAAGACACTTGTTAAAATTGTTTTATATTTTTTATTAAAGTATTTATCATAATAATTATAATTATTTTAATTTTTTAATCAATGAGCACTTGTGAGAGCCATGATTCTGATAGGCTCATTTTAGGACCCTAGCAACTAATGCCATAAATTTGGATTTAATACACTTTGAATTAATTATATTGTAACCAATACTTTGAATTAGATTTTATTATGAATAGCATTTTCATGTCAAAATTTTGTTATCATGTATTCTCGTTAGATCACATGTTACAAATGCAAGAAAGGGGTGAAAAAAAAAAAAAATGACACTTTTCATTAAAATATTTTTTATCCCAATGTGGATTTTAGACAATACTTCAGAAGCACTCCTCAATAAGTTTAAATTAAGGGCCATTTTTTTAGAAATTCTTATTCTTAATTGTTACGTTCCATTTAATTCATATATTTTTTTAATATTTTATTAGGTCATGTTTAAAGTAATATGACCGAATCACCCTTTCAAACTTTTTGGGTGTGTTTCTATTTTGAAATCAATATACAATTAAAAATAATAATAGTCCCTCATTTCATGAAGAAAATTTCTCTCTCATTCTAATAAGAAAATCTCTCCCTTATATTCATGGAGAAAATCTCTCATTTATTCTATACGGAAAAAATGTCTCATTTATTCTATGAAAAAAAATATCTCACATTTTCAAAACCCTAAACCGTCTACCTTACTTTGATGTGAAGAAGCAACACTGTGAATATTAACATTGATCAAAGTATAAAAACTGTGAACATTCACATTTCTGGTGGTTACTTATGTTTGTATACACACAACTATTGGCTTAATGTGAACTGTGGTAAATAAATGTTAATGTGAACTTTCACATTACAAATGCACATTGGTAAAATAACACGTTGTTTGCACTTATATGACTATTTCTGAATGTGAATATTAATATTGATTAATAATGTCATGATCACAATACCAATTGCAACACATTACAATGTGATAATTTACAACAAGCAATAACTCATTATAATGTAAACATTCACACCATGTAATAATCATGCAAAACTCATACAATAATCAGTGATATGTAAACATTCACATTATGCAATAACCATGCAATCATCAGGCTATACTGCACGTCATGCAACCATCACTTGATTCTAATGTTGAAGTTCACATCATCAAATGTAAAATATTAAAATCTGACAATCCACAACAACAATAACTTTAGTAGATGTGAATGTTCACATTCACTGAAATGCCCACCCAATAAGTATACATACACTGATACATAATATCATATTAATTCATCTCGAAACAAAAAGTTGAACCCAACTTTATTGAACATACAATTGCTAGCCGAAAATGGTGCTAACCTTCATTCAACAATTCTAAGTTTCGAAACCGCAACAATGGAAGAAAATAGAGTTCCAAAACTGCAACAGTGAAAGAAAACAGAGCTTCAAACTGAAACAATGGAAGAAGGTAGTATTTGAATGTTCTCTAACCTTCGTCCAACAGTTTTGAATTTTAAAACCGCAACAATAGAATAAAATAAAACTTCAAAACCACAACAATGGAAAAAAAAAAAAAAAAAAATAGAGTTTTGAACAACAACAATGGAAGAAGAAAATATTCAAATGTTCTCTCACCACCAATGTGTAAACAAAACTTCTACAAAAACGTATAATGGAAATGTATCTATAGATTCTTCCAATATCTCTAATCACTAAAACTTTCAAAATAGAAATAACAATATATGAAAAATGCTATATCCTATTGTGTATAATACTTACTATCAAAATAGAACAAAGGGTATAATAGTCCCAAAAAAATTATAAATAAGGCAAATCGGGTCTCTTGGAATACAAATCTAAATATATGGGACTTGATGGAACACAAGAAAACCTTGTGGGTTTATTGGGCTCTCAATCTACTAAAAAGGATTTATAAATAAATTTCTCTTAAATTAATTGTATTTTTTATTATTTGTAAATGTATGTATTTATATAATTATTTTAAACTTTGTTAACGAATTTTTTTTGGATAAAGATAATTTAAATCCATTTAGGAGGAGTTTTCTTAATGTGTGACATAAGCGTACATGTTAAGCAAGTTTAAAATTTTTTATACCATGTTCATTACACTCAGGTCTTCTTAATGTGAATTACAGTGCTGAAAATATGTACTATTCATCCTACTTGATTAAAACTAGGGAAATTACAAAAAAAAAAAGAAAAAAAAGAAGCACGATCCTTGCAATAAAATAAATTTTGAATTTTTTAATTTTAACAACTTAAACTCTAATCTTTTAATTTATTTTCAATTTAAATCATTTGTCTATTTTTGTTAAGTAAAATTGATGAAAAAATAGTATTTTAATTATTAAACTCAACATAAAAGGTATTTTAGACATTTTATGTATACTTTATGTTGAGTTTAATAATTAAAATACTATTTTCCGTTAGTTTTACTTAATGAAAATAGGTAGATAATTTAGATTAGATTAAAAGATTATGATTTAAATTAACAAAATTAAAAATTCAGAGTTTATTTTGTTAGAAGAGTTAAACTCTGGGATTTTATTTTATTTTTATTTTTTGTAATTTCCCCTTGAAACTATTAAATAACATTAACTGATTATTAATAACACTTTAATTTGTGTAGTTAATCACATTAGTGTTATTATTATCAATAATTATTACAGCAATGATAGAGACCCCCTTTGTGGAGAACTTCCACAACCCCCTTTGTGATCCACACCATTCATGATGTGGACCCCACACATACATGAGTGGACCCCACACATCATGAATGGTGTAGATCAGTAAGGGGGTTGTGGGGTCCTCCACAAAGGGGGTCTGACTCATTTTTCTAATTATTATTACGAGGAGATTACGAAATGTACAACGATTGTTTTTGGAGCATTGTTGAGTATTAAAAATTATGTAGAAAATGTATTAAAGGTGGTGAAAATGTTAAAACAAGTTTTGAAATCAAGAAAAAAACTATTTTAAATTTTGTAAAAAGTGTCTTGTTTTCCTTATTTTTAAATTTTTTTTTTGGTGTCCTGAGGACACTTTAGTAGTGCGGGGACGTGGTTTGGAAATACTCTTCCAATCTTAGGAGACGCTCGTGATCTTCAAATAG